GAAAAAAAAAGCGACCAACCTCGTATCGAACCTGTGTCACGACAAAACATACTCGAATCCGGCCCATTTAGTGCCTTATTCACTTGCACTAACGAAGCAACAGTAAGAGAATTGCATAATTATATGAATAATTAAACTAGCGGCAAATACTACGCTTCGGTGACTTCATCGTTTAGCAAAACAAAATGTTTCTTTTGTTTTTCGCTCAACAAAAGATCTCAAAAAGATACCCTTGGAAAACTGAGTTTTTTGCATACGTTACTTCTTGAAAACAAAGTGCAAATCAACAAAAACAATTATGCAACGATGCTTTTCATGTCAAAACAAGTCAGTCTGCCAAAAATTAGCTTGATCCTGCAAAAAATAAAAATTGGCCCAAAATGCTATATATGCCCTTTTTGCACAAAAGCCTTCAATTATACTGCACAGTGTAATGGTAAAGTTTGGAGCAAATGCATGTATTATTGTCAAATTTGTAGTAACATTATTGTAGAGTCAAGGTGCAATGAAAAAAAAATACGTACTTTAATCTACTTGACCATTGAAGATTTACACACAGCCTGTACATGCATAATACCATGCATATATGAATACTCAACCAAAAACAAAAAAGCTATCATGTGATTGGTTGCCTTGTACATAACTCATTGTAGAGTTGGTCATGACACTACAATAAATTTTTACTTTGTTGTTTTTTAGGGAATTGAAGACTTACATGGCAGCAAACCGTCTGCTGCTGACAGGCACTCCATTGCAAAACAATTTGTCAGAGCTATGGTCTTTGTTAAACTTTCTTCTGCCAGACATATTTGATGACCTGGAAAGGTAAGCTTAATTCAACTTAAATCTAGGTAATCTGAGCTAATCTGTATTGGTTATTGACCAAGTGTGAGGTCAAGATGGTGGGATATTGGCCAAGTTCTTTTTTTGCATGTTTGTGGACCGAGACAGAGTTGAGGTCCATAAACACGCAAAAACAAGAACAAGGCCAATATCCAGCCATCTTGACTGAACAAGCTTGGTC